AAAGTTCAGTGAGACGTGTTTGTTGGTGATTTTGTGGGAATATTGAGGAAATGAGTTGGAAAGTTGCTTGGTATTGGGGGTCTTCAATTTCTATTTTTCATGCTCAAAATCATAAGTTCTCTGAGACTTAACGCTAGGGACACTCTCATTGCATAATAATTCCATTTACTGCACATAATTATTTTCCACCGTAACTGCACTATGTGCAAAAACTGTTTCATTGTTATCAAAATGTCACATCTGATACTTTCCGATGTGCTTAACGAGCTTTAAAGATTCACTCTCTATCACAATGAATTTGTGTTAAATGGATTTTAATTAATCGTATCATTCACATTATGTGCATATCTCTCATTTTATATTTGTGCATGTGCTGATGATATTAATAGATAATTGAAATTTGTTGAGTCTCTTGTCTCTGTCTATCGATTTAGATGAGATACATACATTGTTCTCAGGGTATTGATGTTATGGAATATATGTGATTATTGGGTTTTTGCATGAATGAGTGTTGTTTTCAGATGGAATAATTTATGTGGGCGATTGCTTGATGCGTTATGGCTATGCATTAATTGCGTTGGAGATAATAAAGCTCCAGTGGATGTAGGGAAGTCCACAATAATTCTTTTTCATTCAAAACTTCTTTAAAATTGTGGAAAAATTCAGCAATAAATTCCAAAAGAACTTCCAGACTCATCAATCGAGCGCTAGACATCTGCAAATAATATTCATTACATTTTATCTGCACGACCAAGAACACACACAAAATGAGTTCATAGATGAGTGAATATTGTGAAAAATTCCTTGAATATTTTAATAACACTTTATGAAATGAAATCATGAACATAAAATTAATGAAAATTACTTCACATAAATACACAAACACACAGTGTACAGCACAGCGTATGTATGCAAAAATGTGCAATAAATTTAATTGTAAATTTATGAAGGAATTTATTTAATAGAAGTTGAATAATGTCTTGTAACTATGCGAGTTATAGGGACGACTATAATGCAATTTACTTTTATCATCACCGTCTCTATTTTTGTTTCCTTTCATGTCCATAAACAATTTTTCGCTTGCATAGAAAATTATTCTTTAAAAGTTTTTCTGCTTTTTTTCCTCACTCAGCCATGAATGATGGACGAGAAAAAAAAATCAAGAGAAAGTAAGAAGAAGCTCAGTAAATGGCAAGCAGTGAACAGTTAAATTACCCCATGGGACAATTTTGAGCAAAGTTAAAGGAATAACATTCATAAGCAAGCTATAAAAATAATCGTAAATTTTCGCTAACTATAAAAACAAATCATCGCAAATTTCAACATCTTTTTTGAAGTACTGGGGATGTTTAATAAGCAACTGCTAGTCAAAATCTTTTTGTCTGCGATGTAACAACTTTTGTGATGAGAAAATTTATAGAGTCGCTATTTATTTTGTAGTGAAATTTGTGAGATGTTTTTTGCTGATTTTAGAAGGTGGGCCCGTTCGGCACACATTGGAATGTTTGGCTACCGCTTGGTTCAAATTATAAAATCAACCCGACTTCCAAGTGGCAAACATTTAAATGAATTTCAATGAGTGCCGATGGGAAGGGGGGGGGGGGAGGTGATAGATAGGAAGTTAAGTTGATTTGTGAACTTAAAATTTGATCAGATGATTCTTGAGGTCAGCCAAGTCTGGGACCCAATTTCATCCCTTTCCTCACTTAAAATAATTTAAAAGACCGCTAAGTTCTACTTAATAAGTTTTTTTTGCCTTGACTTCCTAAAACCCATGCAAAACCTTGCAGCCCCCCCCCCCCCCTCCCTCTCAGGTTCTTTTCCTTTCAAACTACATGCGCTGCATTACCAACTCGCTTTCATTTTACTTTTCCATTTTTATTCCATAATTAAAAATAAATTTCAATTCCACCGAGTCGAGTACATGATGCACCTCATTCTACATGCTTTGCATATTTTGAGGAAATAAATTTAAAGTCATGGAATAATAAAAAAAAAAGGTAAACATTCTTATAAAACTTTTCTGTTACAAGGTGAAATATTTAACGTACTCAAGTGGATCACATTAACTGACAATAAAGCTTGCTTTTTAAAATGATAGTTGTATTGGGGTGGGAGGAGATGTGCAGGGTTTGGAGTGGTTAAGATTCATAAAATCTTTTCTGTATTTATAAACAATTGATCCCCCATCAAAAAAATGTTATGAGCCACTTGTACTAAGAATCTAGCACATTTACATCCAAACATGCTGCATATCCGATTTCATTCCATTTCCACTTCCTAAAACTCACAAAACAGTCATCAAATCCTACCCGTCAGGCACTTTCCATCCTCATTTCTCATTTTAAAACTTCCAAAAAACAAAAAGTAAAGTCAACAAGTCAAAAACACACAAAATTCTCTAACCCTGCCTGCAGTATTAGCAACAGCAATAAGCAGGAACACATAATAACTCGAGGAGTAATAAAATTGTGCACATAAAACTTTGTGTATATCTCACAGTGCTGAAAAAAAAGAAAGCAACAACATTGTATGATGCACTAAAATTGGATTAAAAGTCAATGTGATGTGAATTGCATGCTTTGTTTACCATTTCATAATATGTATGCATATATGAGAGTTCTCTCGAGCTGATACTATTTTTTTTTCTAGCACATCACATTTTAATGATAATTCAGGAAATTGTATGCAAAGTAAAATATGTTTAAAAAACTTTATTTTTAGTGCATGCATGAAAAATTTGTGGATATGAATTTTATGTAGTTTGATTAATATCGAGGGAATATGTCATTGACAATGTGAATATGAGTTTGGGGATTAAGAGGATTTGAGAATAGTTTGAAAGTTGGGAAATTATGACAGGAAAATGTGAGGATGTGACAAAAATGTATACAAAATCGGATGTTCAGGACGATGAATGAATAAATGGAAAATTTTGGCTGAGATAATTGTTTTGGGAAATAATTGTGATTTTTGGATGTCATTTAAATGTTATGTGTTGCTGGAACCGTTGTAGAGACCGTTTCTAGCCATCCCTTGAGTTCCAGACAATTTTTAATTGTACCCTTGAGTGCATTACATCAATTCTCAATTCTAAAATACCTTGGAGGTTGTTCACTTATGACGTCCATAAAAAAACCTGATTTTTAAACCCCCTCTCCCCCTCTGTCACAATAATTCTGTAGAAAAAAATTTCCATTGTTTGAACTGTCACAAAATTCTAAACCCCCCCCCCCCCCTAAATGTCGGACGTCATAAGTGAACGGTCCCTTGGGTAGCTCTTAAAGCAGGCACAGAGTCTAATTGAGTCATGTAAACTTATTTTTATTCAAAATCATACTAAATTTGAGGTTTGTTGACTCCCTTGACCTACTCAATACACTTCAAGACTTCTTTGTCAACAGTTTCAGACCCCTTCCAATCAGTATCATAAAAGTAATCCTTCAAATCTTACATAGATGTCGATTTAACCTCAAAAATATTCACCAATTCCCACAAAGAAAATAGACTCAACAGTAATAATTGTTAGAATTGGATATGACAAACACACGATATCCATTATCATAAACATGCACAATGTGAGCTCTTTTATTGATATTATTTTGCCGTTTTTCTTATCACATTCACTTTCGTATCAATGTCATTAAGATTTAGGTCATTCACATAAATATGCCTAAAATATTGGCTTATTTTTTCCGGTTTCTTATTCTTCAATTCCTCCCCCAATCTCTTAACTTCATATTTTCTTAAGAAACTTCTGTCATATTTGTATCATGTTAGACATGGCCCGACTGACAATAAAAATACGAATGTAAATAAGTGAATAAATAATATAAATATGTACACATAAAAAGTTCGTCTCTATGTTGTTATTATCATCCCACAAAAACTGCTCAATGTATCGCTATTTTGGCTGTCGAATGAGATGAAAATAGTTTATTAATGGAATTAATGGAGACAGTTCAGCAGCAACAGAGTGAAATCTAAATATTTGTTTAGTTGAATGGAAATTATTTTGGCTGGAAATGAGGAAAAATAAATTTTGTTTAATGCTTAATGAAAAGTTTTTTGGATGGGATGTTGCTGCCTATAAGAAGTTTTGATGATGGGATGATAAATTTGTTTTGTTGATAATTTTTTTGATAGTTGTTTGGTGCTGGGGATAGGGGTGTTGTTGATATGTTGGGAAATTCTGAAAAGTCTAAGGTTAAGGCTTGTTTTCAGCGTCTTGTGGAACTAAGGCTTATCCATTGACGCATATTTTAGACCTCTTAATAGAAAGCTAGTGTAACTTTATCCCAGGGGCCCCAATAGACTCATAAAATGACTCGAATTTCAATATCAATAGTATAGCAAGCTAGGAGACTCAAGAAGACTTCCCCCATACCAAAAAATAAAATTCATATCCATCGCCATCTTCCTCAGTATAAAATCCTCAACAGAAACCAATTCAATGATTATGTTAATAATTGTAATGATTATATTCGCATCAACTGATGAGATAAATAAGATTTCTCATCATTTATGAATTTGGCTGATGGCTCAGTGAATGGTAATCAAAAAAGCTGAAGCATAAATAACACTGAATACGAGATTGAAAATAAAGGAGATATCAAAAATGAAGTGACTTGCTGGAGCTTCTGTATGAAAAGTTTTTATTTTTTGTTCTTTGCATTGTGTTCACTTTCAATGAGTAGCATAATGTAAATAACAACAATAGATTGAAGAGGATGAGATGATTTTTTTTGTGATAAAAATAATGCAGCAACTAGGAAGCATTATAAGAGATTGCTATGAATGGGAGCTTTAAAGAAGGGTGAATTCTACGACTTTAGTTTGTTCCTGAATTTTTGTAGAATCATTCTTAGAAGTTTGATGCAAGTTTGGATAGCAACAAAACTTCCTCAATTTATTTCCACATTTTTTAATAATTTTCAAACAATTTTGTACTTAATAAACCTTAACTAACCCCCATAAATTCTCATTTTCTCTCATTACAGCACAACATGTGGCTCAAATGGTATTTTCTCTCGCCGATTGGACTTCTCATTGTACAATATAATGCCGAAAGCACGAATAAATTCAATTGAAGTTAAGGTGAGTAATTATGAAAATTTTTCTACACCCTCACGAGTACAAATTGCAATTATTGTCGAAAAAAATCAGCAATTTAAGTTTTTTGAGCGCAAAACTTTTTTTATTCTTCTTAGAAATTTTTCTCATTTAAACAAAAAAAAAGAAAAAACTTTTTTTTTAAAAAAAATTCTTAGATAAAATTGCCAGAAACGATATTTACAGATGGTCTGATGAACTGTCTGTTTCGTCTAACCAGTGCTGAATAATAAAATTTAATCAGCGAATTCTTCCCCATGCCAAACTCTTTTTGAGCCATGCGGAAAAAAGCTTTTCAAGCTTTTTGTCACGCCAATTTGACCGATGAAACCGTCATTAATTAATTTAACATTTTTTTTCTATGTCGCTGATGATGTCTACGGATGTTTGGGTGTCATTGGAATAAAATAAATTTAATGTTAAATTGTTGGAAACTTTATTTTCGTTTCGGGTCATGCATGTAAATGGTGGTTTGAGATTTGGATTGGTGGGTGTTTAAGATTGATTGAGTTAAGCTTGAATTTAGTGGAATTAGATTTAAGTTGGGGTTAATTTTTGTGAAATTTGATAACAGCTGATATTATATGAGGTCGTTCTGCTGTGATAGCCAAGATATGGGAGATTAGAAGCTTCTTTGAATGCTTAAGGAACTGTGACTAATAATAAAAGGCTGAATCATACGAAACCTACTAAATTGTATCAATTTCGAGCCACAACCACTTCAGAAGTTACCAAATTTCCAACATCATCACAATATAAGCAATAACTTCCAAAAAAACTCAGCCAGCACATTTCTGTCAAATCAGATATTTTCGAGACAATAACCAGACACCCACCCATGCAATACTAAATATCGATAACAAGCAAAAATGTTCTGAATATATAGACATATAATTTAAAATTCATTTGACCATTAACGACTGAAACAAAGAAAAGAAAAAAAGTTGAGAGACATGAGAGATATTGTCTCAATAAATATAAACACTTTAATTTCATGCTTCGTTAAATTTCCTCCATCATGTTCCTTCCTTCTACAAATTTTTATTTTTTTGCTCATCTATTTTTTTCTGTGCGAGCGATATTAAAAGAACAAGAAGTATGGAAAGGAAAAAGGCGATATTAACGATTTCCAATGGCAAAATAAATTGTTCAATGCTTTCGCATTATTCTGCTGTATCTATTCTTCTATTTTTGCTTGCTTGAACGCGGTGGGTTATGGTGTGCAAAGCAGGGGTGCAGATTCTGTTGGGATGTTGAGGATCTTTGAGTTTTGGGGACTTATTAAGCTTCAAGCTCTTAAAAGACACATCATAGGGGTCATTTATAGATGACATAGTCGATTGCGATCCCATGCAACATAACTCATCCCTGAACCACCCCCGAAATGCTTACTCAATACCCACACACACAAAAAAAAAATCATTTCTTATAAACTAAGCATTTTTCTATAAACCGTCTACAACAGATAACATTTATAAATCCAGGAAAAAGAAACAATAATAAAATATCTAGCAGATTGAGATCATCAGCAGAAACAAAAAATAATATTCTTTTTTTTGTGTATTGTGTTTCTCTGTCAATTGTGAAAAATGTGGAAAAGCTGAAGTGGAAAATTATTAATGAAAAAGGTTCCGACCAAAAAAAAATATAAGTTGAGCTCATTTTTTTTTGACTATGCTGATGAAAAATTATGTACATAAAATAAGCGCTTGTTTCCACAAAAAGGTGTAAATTTTTTACCCGCAGCGCTTTTCCATCGCACCTTCATTACTGATGTATAATATTTCGAATTCACTAGCAATTGAGATGTGGGAAGAAGAAAATGAGAATTATGAAAAGAAAATTTAATTTTAAAACTCGCGAATTGAACATTTGATACATTTAAAGGTGTTTGAAGTGGATTGTGATTGTGGGAGTTTCAAAGGATGCAATTTTGTGAATGGAAAATTACTTTATGACGCTGGAAAATTTTGAAAAAATTTGTTAAATGGGTTAAAATGTTTAATTTTGATATTAAGTTGACTAAAACTTGTCTTAGATGATCAAATCTTAACCAAAAGGAGCAAATCTTAACCTAGATGACAGAATTTCAACTTAGATGACTAAATCTTAACCTAGATGAGCAAATCTTATCCTAGATGAGTAGATCTTAGCCTAGATGATCAAAAATTAACCAAGATGATCAAATCATAGCTTAAATGACACAATTTCAACTTAGATGACAAAATTTCATCTTAGATGACTAAATCTTAACCTAGATGACCTAATATTTACCTAGATGATCAAATCTCTAAATAAATGTCCAAATCTCATTCAAAACCAACAAATTCCATCCACCAACCCCCAATCCCATCAATCACCACCCACTATTCAAAGAAATTACGACCAACCCACCCAATTACTTCCAATAAAGTAAGACATTTTGTGCATTTTGCATCCATAACTAACAGAACTAATAACATAAAGCACCGAGAAGGATGTAAAATCATTTCGTGCGAACGAGAGAAAGTTTAATTTATTAGATTTGCACTTTATAATGTAAATTCTGTCGCCTTTTTCTTCCCTTCCACGTAAAGTGAGACTTTTATGTTCTTTGCATCTCTTAAAAAAGCGACAAAAAAGAGGAAAATTCTTTAGTTCAGTTTACCATGAATGTTTGAACAAAATTTATAGCTTTAAATTGCTTCTTTATGTGTATCTTTACTATAATCGTTCATCGGACGTTGAGCTCCGTTTTGTTTGTGCAATAAAAAAAACTTTTTTTACGGAAAGATGCACAAAAACAGTTGCAAAGTTGATTCATTTTTATGATACATAACCGTCTGCGGGGGTGTTGCTGGAGAGGATGGAAAATTGCACATTGAGTGATTTATTTATTAGAAAAAAAGAATTCTTGAGGAAGCAAATTATAATGGATTAATTATGGTACTCATGATGACTCTTGTTCGTTTATTGGAATGCAGTTTGGATCATAAAGCTATCATGCAAGATAAATCAGGGACCTCTGACGGTCTCTTTGGGTGCTCAGATTGAACCACAAGACTCAATTGTTCTTGATTACTACTCAACTGACCTCTAAGCTTCAAAATTGTCCACAAATAGCCCAAAAAGACTCAATCTTTTCCCAAAAAATAAAAATAAATTAAATTCACTTAATTTGAACTTAAATCAAGCGAGAAATCAATTCATAGTGCAGAAAATGAGAAACTTTCCATGCTTTAATTTCCTTTTAAAATTCCAAAGCTCGCCAGACTCACACAAACACAACAAAAAATCAAACAACGAAGACGTCAAACTTTTAAATTAAACGAAAACATTTCAAGTCACAACATGGAATTTTTTTAATGTTTTTAAAATGATAAACTTTCAATAAATTAGATTTTGCTTGCTTTCATTGCATCTAAAAAAGTCACAATCATGAAAGTTTATTTTGAAAGTGACTTGGGTTGGGTGGGTGGCAAAGGAAGTGAGCAGAAGTGAAAAAGAAAATCCAATCAAAATATTAAAAAGGAAAGAAAATTTTTTTTATTGAACTTTTTGAATTAAAAAATCCGTCGAGTGTGATGCGATGGAAGCAACAACAAGCTACAAGTGAACTTCTCTATTTTTTTATTATATATATTTTGAGGACGTTTACCTTTTATTCATTGAAATGAGAAGATGTTATGATGTTGTGAAGCATTAGAAAATGTAATGATAAGGAGACTTGAATGTACAATTGGCTGGGAAAGTCTTTTCCTGTTCTTTGTTTGGCTGATGGGGGATGTCTGAGGTTGTAGAGCTTCTGGTTCATCGGATTACTTAGTTCTATCTCTTCAGGGACACTATTAAGGTCAGATTTTACCAAAACGCACTTCAAACCCCCTAAAACCTTAAAGCTCATCTAAACGATTGCTCTACCGCTTCTACAGCCATTAAAAATTTCAATTTTCATCTTCGCTACAAAATTAAACTCATAGAGACAACTTTAACGTCACAGGAAGCGACAATCGAGTCTATTTAAAGGAAAATGATGACAAAAACTTTTTCTCTCTTTTTTCATGACGGAAGCGTCAAATGGAATTTTCGTTAATGCTTGAGAGTAGCTTGAACCTTTTTTTTTGTTGATAAGGAAATGAGTTCGTGAGGATGAATTGGAAGTAGATTCAGATTGTGGGTTTTTAAGACAATTTTTTATCGATTTTTCTAAAAATATTTCAATTAGTTCTGTAAAGTTTATCAGTCATGGGAAAAACCCACTTGATTGCTGCCTCATTTGACCTTTAAAATATTTATTCAGTTCCTTCTTATCAAAAAAATTTCAATCTCAATTCTGTCTGGCTTTTGCAATTTATAAAAAAAAATCTTTTGATCCAAAAGAAGTCAGCATGTATCAATAAATTTCAATATCACCAAACACAGCATGATTCCATTCGAAAAATCAATCCAGCATGAATATTCACATCTCAATTTCCTTTCCGAAATCCATAATAAAAATCATTGAATCCCTGTAGACACCTTTTCTACATAAATCACTTCCCATATCCGAGAAAACGCACACAAATCTTATATAGACTGATTTGATCCTCTACACACAATAGACACCTGTCATCGACTTTGACTGCTTAATATTGAAATTCAATGTATTGAAAAATTATTCAACTAAAGCTTCTTGTCCAAAACCTTTTTGACTACGGATACATATTTGAATTTCCGTTTTATGGAAATGTGTGAGCTCGTTTGACTTCCTTATTTAGGCAAGGTGGGGATATGGGTTGTTGTCTGTTGATTTACGAATATTCTAGGTATGGAAGTACTCTTCTACATCAAGCTAAAGTGTTAAAGAAGCTCAAAACCTAAATTAAAATCAGACCAATCATCCATGAAACCACCAACCCTGCCAAATTTCAATTCACGACTTCCTTTTACACGAAAATAAAAATAAAATTCATATATTCACTTTTTATTCTTATTCACAATTTTTTTTAAGTTTGCTAGCTGAGCTC